CTGCTTAAACCTACATGAAAAGTTAGTCTTGACGTGTGTGCTATACCCTGACTTTTCAGTTATGTTTTTAAACCCTGAGGCCACTTATAATTAAAATAGACACGAGGCAGGTTAGAATGAACATATATTGGTGAGGGGACTTTTCAACTACTTACCTGTCCAAGCGTATTTCCTGTGTGCCAAAGAGCATTTCTCAAATGTTCACCAGTACCAGTTGTAGAATTCACCACCTTAAGGGACACCCCTGAGTATCCATAAGCTCTGGTTGGCTTATCTTCCCAGTATGTCTGAGTCACTTGCTTCCACATTAAGACATAGAAGCGACTACTGGATTGGTAACCAAAGACAAATCCAGCATAATCATCATCTCGGTCTGTGTTGACATAGAATGTGCCACTGAAGTCAACAGAACTGAATTCATCATAGCCTGAAGAAGGATGGGAAAGAAATGCTGAGGTATTGTTTTAATTTCACTATCTATTGTCAAAACTATTTAGTGTGATACGTTCATTTGTTTTAGAATTCAAGTCAATATTATTTATTTATCAAATTAATATAGCCGCCCATTCATTATTGAAGGTGAGTCTGAGCGGTGCACAATATATTAAAAAGTATAAAAACATTGAATACAAATATAAAAAGCCGTAGTAATGAATATTTTAAAAAAAACCAAAACAATCAAAGTAAAGTGAGACTTTAAAAATGGCTCCCTCAATAATGGAGTTACCTAGCCATGTTTTTGGCTCCCTGGGAGGCCAAGGCCTGGTCACATAATGGGCCTTCCAGAATATCAAAATAAAGGCAGATTGAAATGCAGCCCCTCAGATTATTAGTCTTCCATTTTAGTATTTTGGTTCTTGGCTTTCCTCTTTCCTTATCCTTTCCCTTGATTTAATTATCATACTTGCTTTAGTGTGAAACATCTGTAGATGTTTGGAGAAGGCAACAACCTTCATATTTTGGCCTACTGGTGTGCTATGTGCAACTGTCCTCAAAAATGGTCTAGAAGCTGAAGCTGCTGCTGAAGGAAACAGAGTGCCTCATGGTGGCACTGAATAGGTCGCTGATCCTTAAATTCTGGCTGTCTGCAAGATACCAGGTCCTGTTGACATTGATATTAATCCATAAAAGCCCAAATGATTTTTCAGCATTTAAATTATTACTGCCATAAATGGCAATCCAGCCCATGGATTAAGATCAGCTGGGAGAATAGAATAGAATAGAATAGAATAGAATAGAATAGAATAGAATAGAATAGAATAGAATAGAATAGAACTGGAAGGGACCTTGGAGGTCTTCTAGTCCAGTCCCCTGCTCAAGATGGAGAGCCTATACTATCTCAGACAAGTGACTGTCCAGTCTCTTCTTAAAAATCTCCAGTGATGGAGTACCCATGATTTCTGAAGGCAAGCTGTTCCACTGGTTAATTGTCCTCACTGTTAGGAACTTTCTCTTTAATTCCAGGTTGCTTCTCTCTTGGATCAATTTCCAACCATTGTTTCTCGTCTTTCCCTCTGGTGCTTTGGAGAATAATTTGAACCCATCTTCTTTGTGGCAGCCTCTCAAATACTGGAATACTATCATGTCACCCCTATTTCTTCTTTTCTTTAGACTAGCCAAACCCAAGTCCTGCAACTGTTCTTCATATGTTTAAGTCTCCAGGCCTTGGATCATCTTAGTTGCTCTTCTCTGAATTTTTTCTAAGATCTCAACATCTTTTTTGTAGTATGGTGACCAAAATTGGTTGCAGTATTCCAGTGTGGTCTCACTAGGGTTTTATAAAGGGTTTCATAAATACTATTATAAATAGGGTTTTATAAATGCTATTTGTTGTTCTATCAATTCACAGCATGGCTACTAGGAATTGCACAATTCACTCTACAATCTTATATATGTCTATAGGGAGTTACTATAGTAATTATGAATCTCAGGTAAATAGCTACATGATATTAGCCTTAAATTCTTTACCATTTTAGTCCTGACTGAAAAAATGAGATAATCTGGGATAGAATAATCTAATCTCTTTTATGGCGAATACAGAATACCAATGCATGGTCTCAAAATCTAAAAATGCCACAGGGTACTTGGAGACCCTTATGAATAAATAACAGTTGTGGTCAACTGTTATTATTCTGAATATAGTTCACTCAGAAGGGATTCTAATACTTACCAACAGCTATGCCAGGATCTGAATTAGCAGTCTGAACCAGTTCCTTGCCCTGATGGCGAATTACCCAGTTTGGATCAATCTGAGCTGTTCCTTTAGGATCCAGGGGTACCATTTGAAACTTTCTGAAATCTGTTTCACTAATGGCATCATTTTCAGGGCACGCATCAAAAATATCTGGGATACTATCATTGTCAAAATCATCTTTGCAGATGTCACCTCGGCCATCCCCTGAATCATACAAATTTTTAAAAACACACATAATAATAACTTTTTTTCTGTATGAGAAATTGTGGATGTTTACATTATACATTAAATGCTAATTAGTACTGAATAATACAGTGCAACAATTCAACAGCTGTACTACTCCTAAAAATAAAAAAATTACTAGTGAATGTTTATCGGTGAACAATTACTATGTTAAAATAATATCAGAATCATCTTTACTCAATAAGTGCAGTGGCTCAAATGATTAGGACACTGGGTTAGAGGCTAGCAAGCCAGTGTTCAAATCCAGAGCTGCTGCGTGACAGGGTGAGCTCCTGTCATTCAATCCAGCACCTTGATGGGGACATAAAAGGAGCCCCCATGGGCTTCCCACACACACGGTGATGCCACCAGCTAATCCTTTCAACCTGGAAGTGCCTTAAATGGTGCCTCTGACATGCACAGGACAGGGAGTGAAAGATGCTATAATATCTTAGGATTCAATTAAAATCCATATTCAGAAAATTATAGAATTAAGACAGATGTTGGAAATAATCTAATGCACAGTCCATTATGCAGGATTAACAATAAAGTACAGAGGTATTGCAAATTTAACAGATGACCATTCATAACTTACTTAAATACTTTTATTGAACGAAGGAGTACAATTAACTAGCATTAGAAAACAATTACCCAACAGGAGCACAGTTTATGTCAGTGATGGCGAACCTTTTAGAGACTGAGTGCCCAAACTGCAACCCAAAACCCACTTATGCATCGTCGAGTGCCTGGTGGGTGTGGCCCATTGGGTGGGCATGGCTGCTGTGGTAATGGCAGACTGGGTGGGACTAAAAAGTTCAATCAATCAATTCCAACTTTGCAAGATTTTTATTTATTTATTTATTTATTTATTAAATTTATATACCGCTCTATCTCCCTTGCGGGACTCAGGGCGGGACTCAGGGCGGTGAACAGGCGATACTAAAAACCATGGTAATAAATAGTTTGTTTTAAAATCGAATTAAATAACGGGCCTGTTCTAAAAACACACCCGTAAAAAAAACCCCCACTGAAACATAATCAAGCTACGCCAGGCCGGCCGCACGGAATAGATGGGCCTTCAGGGCTCGGTGAAAAAGGCGCAGGTCCGCAACTGTGCGTAGGTCGGGGGGTAGGTCATTCCAGAGGGCAGGAGCTGCCACAGAGAAGGCTCTCCCCCTGGGGGTCGCCAGCCGGCATTGTCTGGCCGACGGCACTCTAAGGAGGCCCTCTCTGTGGGAGCGGACTGGCCGAAGGGA